AAATATGTTTTTGGTAAAAGATTATAACGCATGGGAATGTGGATTTTCCTTTTTTTCTTTTTTTTTTTTTTTTGAGACGGAGTCTCGCTGTGTCACCCAGGCTGGAGTGCAGTGGCCCGATCTCGGCTCACTGCAAGCTCCGCCTCCCGGGTTTACGCCATTCTCCTGCCTCAGCCTCCGAGTAGCTGGGACTTAGTAGAGACGGGGTTTCACCATGTTAGCCAGGATGGTCTCGATCTCCTGACTTCATGATCCACCCGCCTCGGCCTCCCAAAGTACTGGGATTACAGGCTTGAGCCACCGCGCCCGGCCTCCTTTTTTTCTTTGGCCTAGATTAAAGGAGTAAAAAATTAGGATAAAACTGAAAGTTTAAGCATGTGGTAAAGTTTATAAAAAATTAAATTTGTAGGCTAGGTGCAGTGGCTCATGCCCATAATCTCAGCATTTTGGGAGGCCAAGGCAGGTGGATCATGAGGTCAGGAGTTCAAGACCAGCTTGGCCAACATGATGAAACCCCATCTCTACTAAACATACAAAAAATTAGCCAGGTGTGGTGGCGTGCACCTGTAGTCCCAGCTACTCAGGAGGCTGAGGCAGGATAATTGCTTGAACCCTGGAGGTGGAGGTTGCAGTGAGCCCAGATCGCGCCAATGCACTCCGGCCTGGGAGACAGAGTAAGACTCCATCTCAAAAAAAATAATAATAAATTTGTAAACAATTCTGTGTGTGAGCAACTTAACTAAAATTAAAAGGATATTTAGCTCTTCCATAAATTAAATATTAAAAGCACACTGATACAGGGCCAGAATCTCAGCCCATATGTCAAAATATTAGGGTTTCTGGAATATTGATTTGTTCTTTAACAAGGCAAAAATTATAAAAAGTTTATGGGCCGGGCGCGGTGGCTCACGCCTGTAATCCTAGCACTTTGGGAGGCCGAGGCGGGCGGATCACAAGGTCAGGAGATCGAGACCACGGTGAAACCCCGTCTCTACTAAAAATACAAAAAATTAGCCGGGCGCGGTTGTGGGCGCCTGTAGTCCCAGCTACTTGGGAGGCTGAGGCAGGAGAATGGCGTGAACCCGGGAGGCGGAGCTTGCAGTGAGCCGAGATCGCGCCACTGCACTCCAGCCTGGGCAACAGAGCGAGACTCCGTCTCAAAAAAAAAAAAAAAAAAAAAAAAAGTTTATGAAAATCTTACCTTATGGTCAAACAAATTAGAACTGGATAGATTTATAAAATTTTGTTTAAAACTAGCTTTAGCATTAAAGATACACTAATGGGCTGGGTGTGGTGGCTTATGCTTGTAATCCCAGCACTTTGGGAGACCAAGTCAGGTGGATCACTTGAGGTCAGGAGTTTGACACCTGCCCGGGCAAAATGGTGAAACCCTGTCTCTACCAAAAATTCAGAAACTTAGCTGGGTGTGGTGACACACATCTGTGGTCCCAACTACTTGGGAGGCTGAGGTGGGAGGATTGCTTGAGCTCGGGGGGTGGAGGTTGCAGTGAACCAAGATTATGCCACTATACTCCAGCCCAGGTGACAGAGTGGGACTCCATCTTTAAAAAAAAAAGAAAAAAAAATGGTTAGGTGCAGTAGCTCACACCTGCACCTGTAATTCCAGCACTTCGGGAGGCCGAGGCGGGCGGATCACGAGGTCAGGAGACCAAGATCATCCTGGCTAACACAGTGAAACCCCATCTCTACTAAAACTAGAAAAAATTAGCCGGGCGTCGTGGAACAAGCCTATAATCCCAGCTACTCGGGAGGTTGAGGCAGGAGTATTGCAAAACCAGGAGTATTGAGGTTGCAGCGAGCCAAGATTGCACCACTGCACTCTAGCCTGGGCGACAGAGAGAGACTCCATCTCAAAAACAAACAAACAAAAAAAAAAACAAAAAAAACTGCACTAATGCATAAATAAAATTTGATTTTGTTTTGAAAAATATAATATTAAGAGATAATAAAAAGGCCGGGCATGGTGGCTCTTGCCTGTAATCCCATCACTTTGGGAGGCTGAGGCGGGTGGATCACTTGAAATCGGGAGTTTTGCCGGGCGCGGTGGCTCAAGCCTGTAATCCCGGCACTTTGGGAGGCCGAGGCGGGTGGATCACGAGGTCAGGAGATCGAGACTATCCTGGCTAACATGGTGAAACCCCGTCTCTACTAAAAATACAAAAAAAACTAGCCGGGCGTGGTGGCGGTCGCCTGTAGTCTCAGCTACTTGGGAGGCTGAGGCGGGAGAATGGCGTGAACCCGGGAGGCGGAGCTTGCAGTGAGCCGAGATCCGGCCACTGCACTCCAGCGTGGGAGACACAGCGAGACTCCGTCTCAAAAAAAAAAAAAAAAAAAAAAAAAATCGGGAGTTTGAGACCAGCCTGGCCAACATGGTGAAACCCTGCCTCTACTAAAAATACAAAACTTAGCCAGGCATGGTGACACACACCTTTAATCCCAGCTGCTCAGGAGCCTGAGGCAGGAAAATCACTTTCATCCAGGAGGCGGAGGTTGCAGTGAGCTGAGATCGCATTACTGCACTTTAGCCTGGGTGACAGAGCAAGACAGTGTCACAAAACAAAAATAAATAAGTAAAATAAAAGATTTTTGTTTGCCTTTTGAGTAAACTACAAAAAAAGAAGAGAGAGGAGACAGATTCAGTTGGCCTCATGCTATCGTCATTTGGTCTTGCTTGGAAAGCTGAATCTTCTTCAGAGTAAAGGGTTTTACCTTTTTAAAAAAGTTTTGAGTTACCACTTTGACTAAATGAATAACCCGTGATCGTATTTTATGATATCCAGTGCTTTAAACCTTTAATATTTGACAAACTTTCCAAAATCTTTTAGATATTAAGTCCCCTGATGTCCAAAAATGACACATTTGGCTTATTCGGTATAAAAGTCATACAGGAAGCATTGTCAATTATGAAATGTATTTGCCTTTCTTTGGGCTGTATTTGTATAAATGTTATTGGTGTATGTTCCAAAGTTATGGGAAACTCATGATTCTGATATGACTTAGTATATACATGTTATGTAAAATTGTTGTATGCCACACATGTAACCAAAATTCATAGTCAGTTGTGACTCTAATAATAGCTGTCTTCAGACTTTTGTCATCCATAGACAATTGTCTTGTTTTGATCCTTTCCAAAAAGCAGTTTATAATCAGATATAGGATTCTGACATGTACTCTTGAATGCAGGTATTTAATAACTTTAGAAATTGTGCTATTGGAATAGAGGGGAAAAAAACATAAACTTCCAGGACTGTCAAAAAGAGCTGATGTGTTAAATATTGCAAATTCTTTTTTTTTTTTTTTTTTTTGAGACGGAGTCTCGGTCTGTCGCCCAGGCTGGAGTGCAGTGGCCGGATCTCAGCTCACTGCAAGCTCCGCCTCCCGGGTTCACGCCATTCTCCTGCCTCAGCCTCCCGAGTAGCTGGGACTACAGGCGCCCGCTGCCTCGCCCGGCTAGTTTTTTGTATTTTTTAGTAGAGACGGGGTTTCACTGGGTTAGCCAGGATGGTCTCAATCTCCTGACCTCGTGATCCTCCGGTCTCGGCCTCCCAAAGTGCTGGGATTACAGGCTTGAGCCATCGCGCCCGGCCTCTTTTTTTTTTTTTTAGTGTCAAGAAAACCTTTTCTTTTGAGCTATTTAGAACATTTAGCAATTGAATAAAGTATACTCCTGGAAGCAAAAAATTTTGAGCATATTGCTTTACCTGTACTGGATTTCTCCAGAATTTAAAAAAAAAACAAAACCTTGTGATTATTCTCAACTTATGGCAGTATAGTTATTTGCATAAGTGCAGTAAGAATCTATTTTCCGTTGTAACAGGACACAACTGGAAAAACTGGTTATTTTACCAAGGCTTTGTCTGGAATGGCATGCTTTCCTTAAAGAAGCAAAGTTGACTTATGGAACTAATAAGAGCCCTTGGGAAAACTGGCCTCATAACTTATCTACACATTATTTGTAGAGGGTTCTTGACCTGTGGCAAGTAAACAATGTCACTTTCTGGCCAGGCATGGTGGCTCACGCCTGTAATCCCAACACTTTAAAATAAACAGCTAAGGCTGGGCGCGGTGGCTCACACCTGTAATCCCAGCACTTTGGGAGGCCAAGGCAGGTGGATCACGAGGTCAGGAGATCGAGACCATCTTGGCTAACACGGTGTAACCTCGTCTCTACTAAAAAAAAAATGCCTTGGCCTCCCAAAGTGTTTGGATAACAGGTGTAAGCCACCACATCTGGCCCTTTATTTTTAGTTGTATAATTCTTTTTTTTTTTTTGAGACGGAGTCTTGCTCTGTCACCCAGGCTGGAGTGCAGTTGTGCGATCTTGGCTCACTGCAAGCTCCACCTCCCGGGTTCACGCCATTCTCCTGCCTCAGGAGAATGTCAACCTCAGTGAGGTTGACAGGACACACACCCAATACCCATGGACTCTATGCTCCCTGCTACTACTTTCCTCTTCCCTCCTGGCCTGCACAAATGTCCAGGATCCAACCCTTCACTCTGAATGCCCCTAACTCCCTGACTGGACCCAGTCATGCTGGATCCCTCAGCAGACACATACAACTTAGAAACTCTCTGCCCTGTCGCCCAAACCTGACTTGACTCTCATGCCCTCCCCCAGGCACTTTTACCCTCAGCTTGAACTGGCCTCAACCATGATTTGAACTTTACCCTGTGCTCCTTCATGTTCCCTCCCCAGTCCACACAAGGATGCCCTTCCACACCTACCTCCCTCAGGTGCCACTGCCCCCAGCAGTCCTGGACCTAAGGACATCACCATGTCTCTGGCATTGCATCCTGGGAGCCCTCATCTTTTCCCACCTCTCCCTGGCCTTGAAAGTCATTGCTGCTGTGGGACCCAGACCACCATTTTGTTCCAGTAGCCCCCTGCCCACCCATTCTCCCTCTGTCACTTATCTGCCCTGCCCAGCAGATGCCATTGTCTCCCAGCCATGGATTTCTCAACTGCCATTATCACCAACTGGAAGTCTTTTTATTTATCTAATTTTTATAATAGAGTCTCACCATGTTGCCCAGGCTGGTCTTGAACTCCTAGGCTTAAGCAGTCCTCCCACCTCAGCCTCCTAAAGCCTGGGGTTATGGGTGTCTATGCAGTGAGTCCTTCCATGCACTTGAAGTTGTGAAGAACATCTAAAGACTTTCCCACATTGCTTACATTTATACGGTTTCTCTCCAGTGTGAGTCCTTCCATGCCTTCGAAGGTTTGAGGGACATCCAAAAGCTTTCCCACATTGCTTACATTTATACGGTTTCTCTCCAGTGTGAGTCCTTCCATGCATTTGAAGTCGTGAGGCACATCCAAAAGATTTCCCACACTGCTTACATTCATAGGGTTTCTCTCCAGTGTGAGTCCTTCCATGCATTTGAAGGTGTGAGGCAGATCCAAAGGCTTTCCCACACTGCTTACATTCATAAGGTTTCTCTCCAGTGTGAGTCCTTCCGTGGATTTGAAGCTGTGAGGCAGATCTGAAGGCTTTTCCACATTGCTTGCATTCATAGGGTTTTTCTCCAGTGTGAGTCCTTCCATGATATCGAAAGGAACTCGAACAATTGAAGGATCTGCCACACTGCTTGCATTCATAGGTTTTCCTTCCAGTGTGAGTCCTTTCATGTCTATGAAATAAACTGGGCAAACCAAATGCTTTTCCATAACCCTTACATTCATATGGCTTCTCTTCTCTGTGCATCCTTTCATGTATTTGAAAGAAAGAGAAATTACTAAATGGTTTTCCACATTCCTTACATGCATAGGGTTTCTCTCCCGTGTGAGTCCTACCATGCGTTTGAAGGAGTGAGGCAGATCTGAAGGCTTTTCCACATTGCTTACACTCATAAGGTTTCTCTCCAGTGTGAGTCCTTTCATGATACCGAAAGGAACTGGAAGAATTAAAGGCTTTACCACATTGGTTGCATTTGTATGGTTTCTCTCCAGTGTGAGTTTTTTCATGTGTTTGGAGTGAACTGGGAGAATAAAAGGCTTTGCCACATATCTTACATTTATGAGATATCTCTCCAGTGTGCGTTCCCAGGTGGTTCTGAAAGCTGGTAAGATAAGATAATACTTTCCCACAATGTTTACATTCATAGGGTTTTTTCCTAGAGTGGGTTCTTTCGTGTCTTCGAACAGAACTGGGACACTTGAAGGCTTTTCCACATTCCTTACATTCATATGGCTTCTCCCCAGTGTGAGTTCTTTCATGTATTTGAAAGGAATGGAAAGAGCTGAAGGCTTTCCCACACTGTTTACATTCATATGGCTTCTCCCCAGTGTGAGTTCTTTTATGAGCATGGAGGCATGTGGAACTGTGGAATGCTTTCCCACATTCATTACATTCATAAGGCTTTTCCCCGGTGTGAGTTCTTTCATGTATTCGAAGGCTACTAGAATGACTAAAAGCTTTCCCACACTGTTTACATTCATATGGTTTCTCTCCAGTGTGAGTCCGTTTGTGGATAAGATACAAACTGAGAAACATCAAAGCTTTCCCACAAAATTTACACTTATAAGGCCCATCTCCACTGTGCATTATCATGTGTCTTTGAAGGCTTGAATGGGAAATAAATGTTTTTCTGCATTCCTCACAAACATAGAGTTTCCTTCCACGATGAGCCCTTTCATGTGTCTGAACAGAGGAGAAACAGTTGAAAGGTTTTTTACAGTATTTACATTTGTATGGTTTCTGTCCATATTCTTGATACTCATATGCCTTGTGTCCAGTGTCATCTCTGATGGGCCTATTAAGAGATGAATGAGCACTGCCTGCTTTTCCACACACACTGCTTCTGCACGATTTGACTCCAGTAGTTGTTTTCTTCTTCAGCATGGCATCTGGAACCAGGGTCAAAATTTCTCCATGCTGATGACCTTCTTTACTTTCAAAGAGTCTCTCTCCCACAAAAGTTCTGTGAACAATGAGAAGTACATTGTAATGGGTCTGCTTATCAGTGATTTTATATTCATTCACAAGTATTGCACTTACATTTTTTCTTTTTTTTTGAGATGGAGTCTCACTCTTTTGCCCAGGCTGGAGTGTAGTGGTGTGATCTTGGCTCACTGCAACTTCCACCTCCTGAGTTCAAGCACTTTTTCTGCCTCAGCCTCCTAAGTAGCTGGGACTACAGGCGTATGACACCACACCCAGCTAATTTTTTGTATTTTAGTAGAGACAGGGTTTCACCATGTTGCCCAGCATGGTCTTAAACTCCTGAGCTCAGGTAATCCACCCACCTCAGCCTCCCAGAGTGCTGAGATTACATTAATTTTTGTATTTTTAGTAGAGACAGGGTTTCACCATGTTGGCCAGACTGGTCTCAAACTCCTGACCTCAGGTGATCCACCTGCTTTGGTTTCCCAAAATGCTTGGATTACAGGTGTGAGCCACCGTGCCTGGCCTGCACTTCCATTTTTAACATCATCCTGCAAACTGTAGGATTTCTGCCCTGTCTGAATTTGAATGGACCACAGGCTCTACAAGATGGCCCAGCTATATCTATTATCAAAAAAGATGATAGGGCCGGGCGCGGTGGCTCACGCCTGTAATCCTAGCACTTTGGGAGGCCGAGGCGGGCGGATCACAAGGTCAGGAGATCGAGACCACGGTGAAACCCCGTCTCTACTAAAAATACAAAAAATTAGCCGGGCGCGGTTGTGGGCGCCTGTAGTCCCAGCTACTCGGGAGGCTGAGGCAGGAGAATAGCGTGAACCCGGGAGGCGGAGCTTGCAGTGAGCCGAGATCACGCCACTGCACTCCAGCCTGGGCGACAGAGCGAGACTCCGTCTCAAAAAAAAAAAAAAAAAAAAAAAAAAAGATGATAGAAGGCTTCTGAATACTGTTTTCTTTTGTTTTCTTTCTTTCTTTTTTCTTCTTTTTTTTTTTTTTTTTTTTTTTTTTTTTTGAGGCGGAGTCTTCACTCTGTCGCCCAGGCTGGAGTGCAGTGGCACCATCTCGGCTCACTGCAAACTCCGCCTCCCAGGTTCGCGCCATTCTCCTGCCTCAGCCTCCCGAGTAGCTGGGACTACAGGCGCACGCCACCGCGCCCGGCTAATTTTTTGTATTTTAGTAGAGACGGGGTTTCACCATGTTAGCCAGGATGGTCTCGATCTCCTGACCTCGTGATCCGCCCGCCTCGGCCTCCCAAAGTGCAGGGATTACAGGCGTGAGCCACCGCGCCCGGCCTCTTTTTTCTTCTTTGAGATGGAGACTCACTCTCTCATCCAGGCTGGAATGCAGTGGGGCAAACTTGGCTCACTGCAACCTTGCCTTCCTGGGTTCAAGCAATTCTCCTGCCTCAGCCTCCCAGGTAGCTGAAATAACAGGTGTCCACCATGATGCCCAGCTAATTTTTATATTTTTAGTAGAGACAGGGTTTCACTATGTTGGCCAGGCTGCTTTTGAACTCCTGACCTCAAGTGATCCGCCCTCCTCGGCCTTCCAAAGTGCTGGGATTACAGGCGTGAACCACCGCACCCGGCCTCTCTGAATACTATTTTAAAGTAAACTATTTTACAAATACTAAATATCTCTCTTTTTAAATTTGTTTTTGAGTCAGGGTCTCACACTCTTGCCCAGGCAGGGGTGCAGTGATGCCATTGTGGCTTAGTATGGCCTCAAACTCCTGGGCTCAAGTGATCCTCCAGCCTGAACCTCCCAAAGGGCTGAAATATAGGCCTGAGCCATTGTGTCAAGCCTACATCACCCTTCAATATGTGTTCAGAGAAAATTTTCTAAGAATAAATAGGTTGAAATTGTGCTTATTTTGTTTCCTTTTTTTTTTTTAAACATTTTCTCCCATTCTAAGATTTTCTAAAGAGACACTTCTTTGTCTTGTTACTGGTGCAAGTTACCTTAGGTTTCTCTTTAGATTTTCGTACTCTACATACATGTTCTGGGCTTTCCATTTTTTCCCTACAACACAGAACAAGGAAAATAATCTTGAATTAGTATAAAATTATTTTAAAAATTACTTGATTCTATGTTCATGGTACACTGCAAGCATGCTTCCTTTATTTGTCAAATATTCCCTATCCACACTGTAAATCACTCAGCAGCATACATGAACTAAAAATACTTGTTCTCTCATTTACTGAGGGAAGTAATATTGTCACCCTTACCTACAGAGGCCAGGTTCCTGAAGGTTTCTTGCATCACATCTCTATAGAGAGTTTTCTGGGAAGGATCCAGCAAAGCCCATTCCTCTTGGGTGAAGGTCACAGCCACATCCTCAAAGGCCACTGAATCCTGAAACATCTCACATGTATAGAGGAGGATGGGTAAGACTAACAGCACTGGGAGCCTATACTCTATTCCCAAGAAGTTCCCATGATGCTGTGGACTCAAAACAATTATTCCATGACCATCAGACCTCATACTCTCTGTCTACACTCAGTTTCTTCTATAAAGTAATTCTGAGGCTACAACTGAACCATGTGGTAAAGCAACAGTAGAATAGGAAAATGTGTATTTTTGGTAAATCCAGAAAGGTGTGCTGCCTGGGCTGCCCCAATGTTTGTTTGTAAAGTGGGAGTACAGCACCTGCCATAAAAGTCCTCCAAATTCCTGTGCAGAAAAAGTTAACATTAACAGTCCTGAGGCTGCATATCCTTGAAAAAAAAAGCCTATGCACAAAGTTTAACCTTTGATGTTATCTAGAAAGTGAGTTTTGTTCTGATTCCTGCAGCAGAAACAAAAACCAAAAAACTGGATTTTACAAGGGGTCTTATCAATCTAAATGATGAATCATAGATAACTAAAACAAAAACTCATGAGCTCATGCCACTGCATTCCAGCCTGGGCAACAGAGTGAGACTTGGTCTCAAAAAAAAAAAAAAAAAAATTAGCCAGGTGTGGTGGCGCATGCTTGTAATCCCACCTACCCAGGAGGCTGAGGCAGGAGAATCGCTGGAACCCAAGAGGCAGACACTGCAGTGAGCCAAGATCACAACACCGCACTCCAGCCTGGGTGACAGAGCAAGACTCCATCTTAAATTTAAAAAAAAAAATGGCCGGGCACGGTGGCTCAAGCTTGTAATCCCAGCACTTTGGGAGGCCGAGACGGGCGGATCACGAGGTCAGGAGATCGAGACCATCCTGGCTAACATGGTGAAACCCCGTTTCTACTAAAAAATACAAAAAACTAGCTGGGCGAGGTGGCGGGCACCTGTAGTCCCAGCTACTTGGGAGGCTGAGGCAGGAGAATGGCATGAACCCGAAGGAGGAGCTTGCAGTGAGCTGAGATCCGGCCACTGCACTCCAGCCTGGGTGACAGAGCAAGACTCCGTGTCACAAAAAAAAAAAAAAAAAAAAAAAAAAAAATTCCCAGGCACCAAGTCTCAACAAAAAGGCAAGTATTTATCAAACTTAAAAACTTTTGCGGCCAGGCGTGGTGGGCTCACGCCTGTAATCCCACCACTTTGGAGGGCTGGGGCAGGAGGATCACCTGAGATCAGGAGTTGGTGACCAGCCTGGCCAACATGGTGAAACACCATCTCTACTAAAAATACAAAAACTAGCTGGGTGTGGTGGTGTGCACCTGTAATTCCACTACTTGAGAGGCTGGGCAGAAGAATCACTTGAACCCAGGAGTTGGAGGTTGCAGTGAGCTGAGATCGTGCCACTGCAACAGCAAGACTCCATCTCAAAAAAACCACTTTTGTGCATGAGATGACACCATCAACAGAGGGAAAAGGGACTCCTTGTGCTTTGTTTAAAGGATAATAAATGGCTCAGCTTCTATGGAAACAGTACAGTAGTGCCTAAAAGAATAAAATAAAATTACTGTATTTTCTAGCATCCCACTTTTGGGTCTAGTTATATTAAATTTGAAAAAATTGAAAACTGAGCCTTGAAGACATATTTGAAAACCACTCTTCACAAAATCAAAGAGCTGGATCAATCCACATGTCCATTGATGGCTGCATGCATAATGAAAATATGCGCCGGGCGCGGTGGCTCAAGCCTGTAATCCCAGCACTTTGGGAGGCCGAGGCGGGCGGATCACAAGGTCAGGAGATCGAGACCACAGTGAAACCCCGTCTCTACTAAAAATACAAAAAAAAATTAGCCGGGCGCGGTGGCGGGCGCCTGTAGTCCCAGCTACTCAGGAGGCTGAGGCAGGAGAATGGCGGGAACCTGGGAGGCGGAGCTTGCAGTGAGCCGAGATCGCGCCACTGCACTCCAGCCTGGGCAACAGCGTGAGACTCCGTCTCAAAAAAAAAAAAAAAAAAAAAAAAAAAAAAAAAAAAGAAAATATGCTAGGCGTATGTATACATTGAAATGTTAATCTTATAACATCCTGTCTCATGCTACAACAATCACAAAAAATTGAGGATTCTATGGTAATTGCAAAAAGTTAATCACAAAAAGAAAATTACAGTATAATTCACCTTCACCTTAGATTAGTTATGTAGTGTTGTGCAACTATATAAAACTGCTTAAGCTGGTAAAATTGAAGTTTATTATTTTACAATAATTAAAAATAATCCCAATACCAAGTAAAAAAACTAATTGATATTGATTAAAAGATGGGCATAGGCCAGGTATGGTGGCTGACATCTGTAATCTTAGCACTTTGGGAGTCCAAGGTGGGTGGATCACTTGAGGTCAGGGGTTCAAGACCAGCCTGGCCAAAATGGTGAAACCCCATCTCTACTAAAAATACAAAAATTAGCTGGGCATGATGGCACATTCCTGTAATCCCAGCTACTCAAGAGGCTGAGGCAGGAGAATTGCTCAAACCTGGGCAGCAGAGGCTGCAGTAATCCGAGATTATGCCACTGCACTCCAGCCAGGGCAACAGAGCAAGACTCTGTCTCAAAAAAATTTTTTAAAAAAGGCAAAAGTATTTGAATTACATTTCTCCAATACATAGAAATGACCAATAAGTATATGAAGTGGTGCTCAACATCAGGAGTCAACAGGCATAATTACTTTACACAGTGTAGTTTCCGGTGGCTATTGAGCACTTTCTCTCATGAAAAGTATTCATAAAATAATAGCATTTTAAATATAGCCATTTATTAAAGTAAAAAATAATAAACAATTTAAATACTGCAGCTGTTTCAAATGTATCATGAGAAACACATAACTGAAGACGTCGTTTCGAGAGAGGATTGAGTATTTCAGAATGTAGCGAGAAAACCAGAAATTTAGGGATTTATTGTCATTTCTAAGAAGAGCTGGCTGAGCATGGTGGCTCACGCCTGTAATCCCAGCACTTTGGGAGGCAGAGGTGGGTGGATCACCTGAGGTCAGGAGTTCAAGACCAGCCCAACATGGTGAAACCCTGTCTCTACTAGAAAGGCAAAAATGAGCTGGGTGTAGTGACGGGCACCTGTAATACCAGCTACTGGGGAGGCTGAGGAAGGAGAATCGCCTGAACTGGGGAGGCAGAGGTTGCTGTGAGCCGAGATCACATCATTGCACTCCAGCCTGGGTGACAGAGCGAGACTCCGTCTCAAAAGAAGCAAAACAGAAACAAAACAAAACAAAACAAAACAAAAAAAACAGCGCTAAGCTACAGGGGTCTTAAGGACTTCTGTTTTTTTGTTTTGTTTTGTTTTTGAGACAGAGTAGTCTCACTCCGCCGCCCAGGCTAGAGAGCAGTGGCACAATCTCGGCTCACTGCAACCTCTGCCTCCCGGGTTCAACTGATTCTCCTGCCTCAGCTTCCCAAGTAGCTGGGATTACAGGCGCCCACCACTACACCTGGCTAATTTTTTTGTTTTTAGTAGAGATGGGGTTTCACCACATTGGCCAAGCTGGTCTCGAACTCCTGACCTTGTGATTCACTCACCTTGGCCTCCCAAAGTGCTGGGATTACAGCTATGAGCCACTGCACCTAACCAGGACTCCTTCTTTGACCAAACTTGAGCTCACAGCCCTCTTCTTTTTTTTTTTTTTTTTTTTTGAGACGGAGTCTGGCTCTGTCGCCCGGGCTGGAGTGCAGTGGCCGGATCTCAGCTCACTGCAAGCTCCGCCCCCCCGGGTTCCCGCCATTCTCCTGACTCAGCCTCCCGAGTAGCTGGGACTACAGGCGCCGCCACCACGCCCGGCTAGTTTTTTGTATTTTTTTTAGTAGAGACGGGGTTTCACCGTGTTCGCCAGGATGGTCTCGATCTCCTAACCTCGTGATCCGCCCGTCTCGGCCTCCCAAAGTGCTGGGATTACAGGCTTGAGCCACCGCGCCCGGCCCACAGCCCTCTTCTTGTCTAGGCTTTGGCCGCCTTCTGCAGAGCCCAGTTACAGCAAAAACCCTTTTAAGGCAGTTCACAGAGAATCCCCCCCCCACCAAAACTTGGTATTTCCAATCAAGTTCAATTTCCCCCACTCATGATAATTCATCAACTTTCTCTTCCCTAACTGTTGACACCTCAGCAAGTTCCATCCTTTTCCTCACCTTGCCCTGTAATATAGGAGGGAGATTAAACGTGGAGACAGCCTATTACGTGTCATGAGAAATGTAATATAATATACAGAACTGTAATCTCACTACATATTGTAGTTCTCATGACACATATTACAATTGTGCTGAATAAAGCCTTCCTTGATATTTTAAACACATTTTCAATACAATCTCTCTTTACAAGGGATAGGGATTTAGACTGGAGACTCTGCTTCAGAAGTCTAGAATGCATGGGGGATAATAGGCTCTCTCCCTGTGGGGAGACAGCTGAGAATACCTCCCACTCACAAAACCAAAACACCAGGTCAGATTTATTTCCTAAAAACCACTCCCTGTTGTTACCCCATAAACTTAGTAAGATAGGGGACTGTGGGTGCACTATTTCCCAGACAGGGTACTAGGGTGGAACTTATCTCCTGCAGTGATGATGCAGGATGCCTGGCGGTACTGGCTGCCAATTCAGCCATCACGCTGTGATAGAGACTTAGGTGTTGGGAACAGGCCCCCAAATCTGGCCATAAACTGGCCCCAAAACTGGCCATAAACAAAATCTCTGCAGCACTGTGACAAGTTTGTGATGGCTGTGATGTCCACGCTGAAGGTTGCTGGTTTACCAGAATGAGGGCAAGGAACACCTGGCCCATCCAGGGCAGAAAACCACTTAAAGGTGTTCCTAAACCACAAACAATAGCATAAGCGATCTGTGCCTTAAGGACATGCTCCTGCTGCAGATAACTAGCCAGAGCCCATCCTTTTGTTTTGGCCCATCCCTTTGTTTCCCGAAAGGAATACTTTTAGTTAATCTATAATCTACAGAAACAATCCTTATCACTGGCTTGCTGTCAATAAATATGTGGGTAAATCTCTGTTCATGGCTGTCAGCTCTGAAGGCTGTCAGCACCCTGATTTGCCACTCCACACTCTATATTTCTCTGTGTGTGTCTTTAATTCCTCTAGTGCTGCTGGGTTAAGGTCTCCACGACCCAGCTGGTCTTGGCAAGTGGTGTGCATATATGGGGCTCGAACTCAGGTTGAAGGGTCACAGGAGTAATGGTTGGAGAATGTGGAACTAAGCTGGAGGATACCCAAGTACTCTTAAGCAGTGCCCCTGGTGAGTAAGGGGAGCTCGGAAGCATCAGGGTAACAATGGAACAAGTGTGAGCTCTGGCTCCTTGCAACTTGGAACCTTTTCACACTGATGAGGAGGAGGAAGGAGAGTATAAGGAAGTAACAGAAGAGATGACAGAGCAGGTTTGTTTGCCAGCTAAAGCTAAAGCAGCAAAGGAGGAAGTGTTCATCCCTACCCTTCTGCACCCCCTCCTTATTTTGAAGAAAAAGAGTGGCCTGACCTGCCAGATCTTTCTTTTCTGGAGGACACTGGGTGAAAAGTAGTTTCCTCAATGACTGTTCGA